AGAGAGTTTCAAAGATTAGTTACTTACATGGGGGAATATTGAAATTTAACTACTCTTTATACACAAAAGATATTTTACAAAAAACAAAAAAGATAGTAATCTTCACTAGAATTAAATACATATTATAGTAAAGATGCCAAACAAAAAATGGAATTCGATTTTACTTTAATATCATAGCAAATTTCAGTTCATTAACTAGTGTTATATGTGACTTCTTCATGCTGAAAATTTTGAACTGAAAGAACAAATCTAGGTATTGATGAGATAACATTGCAATGTATTCCTCAAATTAAAAAAAGATTATTTTGCATTGACAGGCACCTTTTCCTTTAATGCTGGCTGTCCTGAGGTCTGAGGAAACACAGAATGGATCTAGACACACATTGCCTCAGTATCCATAAAGAGGGCCTTAGTGGGAGCCCAGTGATTGCCTCTCACCCTGTCCAACTCCTTTCATGTTCCCCCAAATCCTACTTAATATCCTGACCTCATTTTAATTATTATTTTGAAAGATATATATGTAAATGAATATAATACACATAAATGCACATACACACATATATTTTATAAGTATTTCTGTATATATGCATATGCATATATATATATATATGATATGTAAGCATGTGATTTAAATAGAGTTAAGCCACATGGGATAATAAGGCTTACTAAAAGAAACTTAGATTGTCAAACAAAAACCCTCATGGCAGGCAAGGCATGTCAGATGTTTCATTATGTAAGTCTTGTTAAGTAATCATAACCTTAGAAGTTTTATGGGTTCAGATTCCTTGTCATCAGTAGAAGATACTATTGAGCAGCAGGAATCCTATTCCTCTGGCACTGTTTCCAGCAATCTTCCACTATGTTCTTTAAGTTTTAGGAGTAAAATTTCTTTTTAGATGTATCAGTTGGGGTGAGCCAGCATAGGGTTGCTTATTGTCTGTATTTGGATCAGTTGAGAAAATTTGTAAGAGTTTCAAATTTTTGCAAAAAAAAAAAAAAGAAAGAAAAAGAATAACCTTCTTTAAAATAAGTGATGAGCCACACTTTTCAGTGCTTATAAGGATAAGTATTTATAGTACAGTAGGAAATTAAATTGGTTGAGGAAAAAAGTGGTAGTAGGTTGTTTTCTGGGGTCTATGACCTTTCCAACAAAGTATACCTGGCAATGTTACAGAAGCATGCATGTATTTCCTCCTACTGAGCAAACTTAAGGCCAACCTAACAACAGCTTATTACCCCCTAGTTAACAGTGATGCTATGGCACCAGGTGTCATTTTCAGTTGAAAATCAACAATATTTACAGTGAGCTGTGTTTTGCCTCACTACATGTAGTATGGATTTCTATGGTTTTATTCCAGTACACCAAATTCCTACAGTGCATTTATGTATAACATTAGAGTGTTGAGCAGGGAAAAGAATGGGATGAAGATTCACTTGGAAAAGTATTTTTCTGTGAAAACATGAATACCTCAACTTGAATCACCAGCTTCTAATCAATAGCTAAGCATGCCAATATGTGTGCCTATAAATCATAGCAAGTTGGGGAGCAAAGCCAGGAAGTTCTTTGCCTACTGTCCTGGCCCTAGGTTCTGTGACAAACTCTATCAAAGTGAATAATGTGGAGAATGATGAAGTAGGATGCATGAGGTCCGTCTCTTCGCTCTTCATATGTGAAGAGTCCTGAAGGAACTACACTAAGGGACATTTGGAGACACATATATACATATTACACATGATATGCCTCTTTCTCTGTCTGAAATTCACAGTGGATAATAAGAGTGTTTAATATATAGTGTGTGTGTGTGTGTGTGTGTGTGTGTTGTGTGTGTGAATGCACTAGGCAGGGGAGAGTAATCATGTTTCAGATGAGGATATCTAAGTACATTGTTGAAATTTGCAAAACTGCAGTTCAAAAAGGAAACAAAACAGAACAAAAACCTCAATGAGACAGTTTAGAAAAATATCTTTCCCTTATTTCTTCAAGCTCGTGGAGACTGCAGCTCCCCTTTTATTTTCCCATATCATTCCATCTCTGCCTTCATTGTTCAAACTATAACCCCCTATTCTTTCTGTGACAAACTCTCTTGTTCATTCTCTTATAAAGACACATGATCATATTCAGCCATACTGGTTTAATACAGGGAAATTTTACATCCTGAATATGCTTAATTTAGATTCTAAGGTACATTTTCATATATTCTTAGCATCCCAGAATTGGAATATGAATATGTGTCCTTTTTGTCCTATACTGGAGTATGTTGTGCATCACTCATCAAAGAAGCTTCTTTTTACAAGAGATGGGGGTTATAACTGAGTTCCACAACTGGTCACAGAGAATAGAATATATGTCTGAGAGATGCCAAACACTAAGCAACAAATCTACAGCGGAACCTCTACCTAAGACTCATGGAACATGGCAGAGCAGGGAATAGAAGAAAATACAAATGTATACCTTAACTCTTACCAGTAAAGCTTACTCACGCAACACAGCATGATTCATACAGAAGGCCACACTGGCTAAGTTTTAGAGAATAAGAGACTGCAGAATGTGTGTACCTGAATTGAGCTCCTATATTAAACCTTACCCAACCATGGCTCAGGATACATTGTGGAAGAATGGATAGAAAGATTGTAAAAGCCAAAGTTGATGCATAAGCATAAGAAAACAGAGGCTAGGGGCTGGAGAGATAGCTCAGTGGTTAAGAACACTGGTTGTTCTTGCAGAAGATCCAGGTTCGAATCCCATAACCCACATAGCTAATAACTGTTCGTAACTCCAGTCCCAAGGGATCCAACAGCCTCTTCTGACCTCCATGGGCATTGAACGACAAGGGTTCACTTACTTACAGGCAGGCAATGCACACATACACATGAAATAAAAATATAAAATAAAATAAACAGAGTCTTTTGGATTATTGGGAAAATGCTCATTGAACTTCCAACAAGGGTTAGAGCAGGTACAAAAGCCCTACTCAATCAGACAAAATACCAAGTATTGAACAAGGGAAATGGGCAGTAAGTCCCAACCCTAGCTGAGGAACTATTGGCAACTGTTTACTGCTGGGTGAGGGAATGTCCCCAGATAGGCTGGCTAGATTCCAGTAGATTAATGCGCACCAAGGGACGTCTGAGTACAAACACTTTACATAAGAGGACTTAATATATATGACATAATGCATAAAATCCAGTGGAAGCATTATGCTGGGGTGGGGGATGGGGTAGGAGGTTGAAATTTGAATAAGATCTAATGTATGAAGCACTTCAAAATTTAATAAAAATTTTTAAAAGAATATTTATCCTTACATCTATTAATTGTTCCATCCTCTCCATCATAAACATCAGTAACTTCACTTTGCCAACCATACCAATTACCATCAATGTGATGCTTTAGCTGGACTCAAATAGGAGGGCTCTGACAGGGATTTTCTTTCAGAATGGCTCTGTCACCATTGACTTGCAAGAGGAAGAACATGACTAAAGATGCCTCATAACCCTCTGTGTTGAAACACTTTCTGCAGAGAACAGCCATGCTCTTTTATTCTCCAGACATACTCTTGCTCCTGTGTCTCTCAACCCTCAAGGAGGTCACAGTTTTTTCTGGCTCAGACACAATTCAATTCTGCCTCTCATAAAACTCCTTCCTATTTACTTAGGGCAGTGCAAATGCTCAGGATTAAATGAGCTGAGTAAATTGTTTGAATTCCATATGATAATCAGTTTTTTGAGCATATACTAGCCTTAGGGAAGGCAGAAATTTCTCAATTATGAATATTATAGCAGGTTTGGTTAAAGATAACATCATATTAGCTGTGGTGTCACATGCCTTTAATCCCAGCATTTGGGAGGCAGAGGCAGGTTGATGTCTGTGAGTATAATTCCAGCCTGGTTTACATAGTGTGTTCCAGGCCAGCTGCAGTTACAAGGAAACCCTGAATAAAATAAAATTAAAAAAAATATATAGCATGATATTATGTTTTATGTATGTTTTTATTGAATTTTGGTGCATCTCATACAAAATATCTTAATCATCTCCCCCATCACCATCTCCGATGACCCAACCACATTTTGTGCATTTTGCCTTATATATTAAGATAAATAGCTTTTGGCTTTTGTACTCAGTTGTTCTCAGTGCAAGTTAATCACCTGGAGTCAAATCAACTTATCTAGAGTCATTGCCTTAAACAATATCAACTCTCCCTTACCCATTAGTAGTCAGTTGCCAACTGTTTTGCTTAAGGTTGGGACTGATCAATCAGGAAAAAAACCCAGCATGGAACTAGGGAAACTGGCAGGAGGTAGCATCATTGTAAAGAGAGCTTTGCTATACTTAATATGCAGGGTACATTATTAAAGTATAAGGCTGCACAAACATAGATTAGAGTCCATTTACATGATTTTTCTATAGATTTACTCATGTGTGGGACCATACATGAGGTTTAGAAATCAGATACTCAGAAAGAGGTAAAGAAAAAAAATCATCAGGTAGCTCCCTAAGGGAGCTGAGAGCATCAGGAACCAAAACCTGGAGTTCCCAAATCTATCTGAAGATAACAGGGTATGAGGTATAAAGCAGGTGTGCTCTATGGGAGCTTCAAAGAGCCCTGATTTGTACTATAGGTTTTCCTTACAGCACAGTTAACAACAGTAGGTTAGACAACAATTACCTGCATTAAGGCATTCAAAAGTAATTCCAAAATTAATGATTACATGGACTTCCATTTTTTTCAAATGAGGGTATGAGTAAAAATTATATCAAAACTAGGTGCCTCATATGTTAGGATCTGAATCATTTATTAAATAAGGAGAGATATTATCCAGTTTGTGCTTCTGAAACTAAAAAGGAAGAAAGAGATTTGGTTGCAGAGCAGACGGTCTGACTCTTTTCTTCAAAACCTCCCAGACACATTCCAAAGTTGGCATCATTTGGAGAAGGTGCAGATGCATACACAGCCTGGAGCAGCTGGGTAGCACAGCCTTGCACTTCTGCTTCCCTGGGAGGTTTATGTTACGACTTGAATCACTGTAGGAGAGTTACTACCCTGCTGACAGACGTAAGTGGCAATGTCTTCAGACTCCAGTTTGTTGATGGTGAGAGTATAATCTGTACCAGATCCACTGCAACTGAACCTTGATGGGATCCCAGTTTGCAGATTGGATGCACCATAGATCAGGAGTTTAGGAGCTTCCCCTGGTTTCTGCTGATACCAAGCTAACCAACTATTAATGTTCTCACTGGCCTTGCAGTTGATAGTGACTCTGTCTCCCAGGGATGCAGACAGCAAGGATGGAGACTGAGTCATTAGGATGTCACATCTCATACCTGAGAGGAGAAACATACGAAAAATATATACTGAATAATATCGTTACACGATTAGTCTCTTAGAAAGCCACACAGCACTGGCCACACTGGACAAAAGTGTTTTCCTATGTTTCCCTTCCTTACCTGAAAACCAGAGCAGCAAAAGCCCCAGGAGCTGAGAGGGGTCCCTCATGTCCATGCTGTGTCCTTATTGGAACTAACTCCTTCTTAGTGTAAACATACTATTATATGTCCAGAGGGCAGTGATGTGGGTCCAGATCACATGCAAATCAGCTGAAACTGGCAGGGTTTAACACAGCTGCAGGATTTGGTTAAGCTCATCCCTAAGACTCAAGACAGGCCAAGGCCAAGTGTTCTGCAGGTGTTCAAGGCAGACAGCAACACAAGTTTTTCTGTGGAGAGCATGTTCCTCTCTGTGGGACAAAGCACAGCTTCAATATCTAATCCTATGATTAATTAGGAACTTTCAAAATTATGTTTATAGAATTTTTGTTTATTTAAGGTATTAATACTTCCTATTCCTTTATCTGATTTTCTGCCACATGTCTATCAAGGACAGTGGAATGTCCTCTGAAACAGTCCCAGAAATCTGAGGAAATCTTATTTGCTCCTTTCTCTGCAGCATGTGGAAAATCAGCACAAAATGATTCTTGTTTGCTCGGGTTCCAGTCTACTTTTTGAGTAAAATTAGAAAGTAGTGAAGAGGTCTGCAGAGATGACTCAGAGCACTGGTTGCAATTACAGAGGACCCAGGTTCAATTTCCAGTACTCATAACACACCCTTATTATAGTGCACGTGCTCTGGGCTCCCTGGCGTGGGGAGCGCTGGCAACTCGGGGTCCCTGCGAGCACTCCCGGAATGGCAGGGCAGGTCCACAGGCTTCTCCGCCCTGCGCCTGGAGGAAGGTGGGTCTGGCCCCACGGGCTTCTCCATGTCTCTATGGGCCTCTGCTGCTGGAGCACTGTCCAGCCGTATACCACCTTAATTTCTCCCTGTGCGCTTTCCTCTTGATGCGAAATCCACTGGCCACTGGATTACACGGGAGAGCGCGAGGTGGCTGAAGCTGGGATCCATGAGCCGGTAGCAGAGGAATGCACCCCCTGGAGAGGCTGGGTCGCCGGTAGTAAGACACAAGTCTCAAGACTCGGCTTAGCCCATGTCACAGCTTTTTATTAAGTGTAGCTTCAAGTGATCCAGCTCTCTGCGAACCAGCTCTCTGATATTGAGAGAAAGACTGGGATATTTATACCATGGGGGTAGTGGTAAAAGCTTTGGCTGATAGATACTTTGTGAGGCATTCTATTTGCATATGGAAGTGGATTTCTGCCATGCTGCCAGACTGCTGACTACCTGAAAAATCACACAGGAAAGCATGGTATTCCTAGAGCCAGAGGCCATGTTTATGTTATGGCATTTGTGGCGGGCACTTCAAAAGGAGAGTCAGGGAGAATGCCAGGAAGGCACCCCGCTATGAAAGGAGTCTCAGCACATAACTCTGAGCTTCGTGAGCTATCCGGATATGAAGAGACTTCTACTTCACATAACAGAGGCCCCCAACACCTTATATCTAACTTTAACTCCAGTTCCAGGGTATCTGATGCCCTCTTCTCACCTCTTTGGGCATTGCATAACATGGCTACACTTACACATTCATGCATGCAGATAATATACTCATACACTTAAAATAATAAAAATGATTTCTATGTGAAGGGCAGCCTTATTAACTCAGGCTACTTTAAATTAGTTCCTGCATATATCAATGCTCTTCCCCATAAGCTCCCCAGAAAATATCAAAAGTCAGGCGTATTCTCAGTTCTCATCATAAGAGTATGAAGTCCCATCCTAGCTCTCCATACAGTTTTTGAGTCCATTCCTGGCATTGTTTAGAAGTCTCAGATTACTGCTCCTGTGTTCTCTCACAACTTAACATAAGCCACAGTCTTCAGAAATGGAGGTCCTTTCTAAAAAGCATCAAAATTTTTTAAACTAATTTTTAATGAATTTCTGTAAAGTTCATATGTTTTGGTCATATTAAGATCCACTCCTGCATCTTTCACTCTATGTTCACCTAAATATTCTACCATCAGCAAATGCGTCCTGGCTCCCAAGAGAACCCAAATATGTATAGCTATGTCTAGGTGGGTGGAGATCAAGTGAAGTGAATGGAGAAGTATTAAGGAATGAATGTGGAAGTGCTACATGGGCTTGCTGCAGTCAAACTAGGGTCCATAAGTTAAGTGTTCCCAAGTGGATATCATGATTTTGGTTGCTGAATGTGGATAGTGAGGAAGGATGGGATTTGGACAGGATTCACATGAAAAATATCTCCTGAAGTGAGCATCTGTTGGGAGCCTCTGTTATGCAAAAGTCGAAGCCCCTTCACACCAGACAGCTCATGCAGCTCGGGAATGTGCTGCGGGCTCCTTTTCATAGCAAGGTGCTTCCTGGCATCTTCCCTGTCTCTCCTTTTGAAGTGTCTGCCACCAATGCTATAACATAAACATGGCCTTTGGCTCTGAAAGGTACCATGCCTTCCTGTAATTTTCCTAGCATACAACTGTCTGGCAGAAATCCACTTCCACATGTAAATAGAATGCCTCACAAAGCATCTAACAGCCAAAGCTTTTACCACTACCCCCATGGTATAAAATATCTTAGCCTTCTCTTAATATTGGGATTCTGGGTCAGAGACTGGGTCCCAGAGAGAATAAAGCTGTAAGCACAGACTAAGCTGAGCCTTGAGTCTTGTGTACCGGCAACCTATTCCCCCAGAGGGCAGCACCTTCCGTTACCGACCCACGGACACCAGTTCGCCATCTCCGTGCCTCTTCCCTGTGGGGTTCAGTGGCCAGGAACCCTGCAATCCTGAGGAAAGGTACATGGGTGTAATAGGGATGGGATTCCGGCTGGACAATGCTCCAGTAGCAGAGCTAGCTCCCAACACCAGAGAAGTTACGACAGCCACCAGCTGCCATCACTCCCAGAGACGCGGGACCCAAAGCAGCCACTGGGAAAGCCTGCGGACCCGCTGTGCTGCTCCCGGAGCCGCTGCTTCCCAGAGAAGTCTGCGGACCAGCAGGGAGTGAGCGCACTCTGCACCCAGAGAGAGCGCAGTCCGCCCATAAGCATCCTGAGGGCCAAAAATCAACACAGGATGACAGAGATGGAATAACACTCAGGCAGTTTCTTGTGCTTCATTACAGGCTTCAGCTCCAATTATCCAATCTGTAACTCACATGGTAACAGGTCATTTTCTCCATCTGCATTTCTTCTCTCACCTTTCTTCTTCCCTCACAAGATATTTGCATATTCTCACCATGCTGAGTGTAATGGAAGACTTGTGACTAGCTAGGAAACTCAATCTAAGTAAACATATAAATCTCTAATCTTGTGAGATATCTCTTCTCTCTTCTTATCAACTTTTATGTATTGATAAATAAAACACAACATTTGAATTTATCTACTAAGATATGGGGATATATCTACTAAGAAATGGAGCTCTATGTACATAACACAATACCCACACAGTGTTCTAAGTGCATGATCCTTCATGAAGCATTATGTTTTTAAGAACTGAATAGTTATGTCTGCCTAGCATTACATAATCCAGGCGTGGAGGCACCTATTTAAAGGCCTTGCGCACAAAAGGGTGAGGAAGGGACATGAAAATTTCTAGGCCGACCTTATGTACCTATGTTTTCCCAAGCCCAAATAAGCCAAATGAACAAGTTATTTAAAGTAAAAATAAGGGAAGAAAAGGAAAAAAGAAAGAACAAGGGAGAAAATGAAAAATTGCTTTATTGAGAAATTGTTTAAGAGATTAAACAATAGCTCCTACATAATAGAGATTATTTAAGCAGTAATTCTATTTTCTAATTCACAAAATTAATATGCCTCTAGCAAAAAGCTTTAGGTCATGAAGTGAACATTAGAGAAAATTATCCCTACTCACTTAAATCCTACAAATCAAAAAAAAAAATCTTAAATTTCTTCTATGCATATTATTCTGTATAGCTGCTTCATGATTTCTTATTCTGCTCTAAGGAAGTGCTGAGTCATTTTCCCACCACTATGATCCAGTATCTGAGGAAAACATCTCAACAAAAGGAAAGACTTATTTTGATTCATTTTTTACATGATTTAACCCTTGATCAATTAATACTATGATTTTGGGCTGCTATCAGAAATGCTTGATTTGAAGGACAGTAGGTGAAAAAATGTTCAGTTTATGGCAGAAAGAGAGAGAGAGAGAGAGAGAGAGAGAGAGAGAGAGAGAGAATAAGATTAAAAGACATATCCCAGGGGCTGGAGGGATGGCTCTGTGCTTAAGAACACATAGACTGGTGCTGCAGAAGACCCAGGTTTGATTCACAGCACCCACATTGCAGATAACAACTTTCCCTAACTCCAGTTCCAGGGGCTCTGACAGTCTCTTTTGTACTCCTCAGAATTGTACAACACAGATCTACTTCCCTGCATGCAGGAAATACATGCAAAAACATAAAATAAAAATAATAAATAAATAAAAGACATCCCAGTGATTTATTACATCCAAACAGACCTCCAATACTATAATGTCATTAAATTGTGTATTCATTCTTGGATTAATCTGGTTGTTACTGCAAAGCCCTGTTGATGCAATCACCTATCGATGACTAGATACACCACCTGGCAAACAAGCCTTCAACCCATAAGTTTCTAGAAGCATTTCATATCAAAGCTCCAACAGAGATTCAAGATTCATATCTTGAATCCTGTCAAAAACTTTACTCAAACCCTTCTTTTCTCAAGCCCTTCTACTTGTTTTTATTCTATATGTTGTAAATATACATGGGGTACTCACAAGTTTGAGTGTATGGGGCCCTCATTGATTAGGACTCTCCCAAAGTAAGAGCTAAATAAACCCCAATTCTTCATAAGCTCTCTAGACTCGAATGTCTTGTTTTAGCACCAAAACAAAAACAACAAAAACAACAAAAATCAAAAACAACAAAGTCATCATTATAGGGACTAGTTCGGATATCCAAAATTGGCAGAATATTTCTTCATAATATGTATAATTGGTACATAAATTAATGTTCAGTGCTAGAAGTAACATTTCTCATCAATAGTGATTTAACAGGATGTTCTAGTTCTTGTTTGGGAAACTCACTGAAATTTGGCATTGCATTCTGCAG